ACATATTGACAGAAAATACCATTTCATCATACATAGGGTAGAAGAAGGTCACCTCGTCATGAAGAGGGTATCATCAGAAGAGAATCATGCAGATCCCCTCACAAAGGGTCTGAGTAGGGTCAAGCACGTTCAACATGCTAGGAGCATTGGTCTGAGAGATGATATTAGTTTTAGTATTAGATAGTTAGTTTTGAAACTTGTAACAAAATAAATGTAATTGACTTTTGGTGATTAAATAATAGAGATTTATTTATGAGTTGGATTACTATCCTTTGTCTGTTGTTTATTTTGTGTTTCACTTTGCATGTTTTACTTCTCGAATAATTCGATTATTCAAACGTCCACATTCGATCGTACTTTTGGAAGTAAGTAGTGAACTAAGACTGTCATGAATTGGATTGTAGATTGTCTGAAGAGTTTTAGACATAATAATAGTATTGATACAATATTCATGAGTACTTTGAAATGGATATTTGAGTATTGGATTAACCCACGCTCAGAGAATTACTTCATGGAATTTATCACGAGTAATTCTGAGACGATGATATCTTATAATCTTTAAACGAAGATATATGAGTTGTGGTTTACTAATCAGTCGTGCATTGATAATATGTAAACGCATCAGTAACTTGATGTTATAAAACGTATTGTTGTGCATGATTTGATGAGTAAATGGTGCAGACATATAAGTCAAATTTTATCTGCTCCTTTTTCCTTTATGGGAAAAGCTATATCTTTGGGCCCCTCGGTGATTTGGTGTTGACTTATAGTGTCAGTCATGGCTAGGACTTGATTGATGTGTTCGATTAGAAGTTCTATGTCATTACAAATTAGAAATCGGGAAACAAAGTATTGGACAATGAGATTGATTCTATTCCATGTCCCATATCCGAATGATATCTTTGAGAACAAAGGATTATATGATCACTTATCTTAGGACATGTAACTGATTGGTTCAGAGTTCGACAACGGCTTTTGGTAGCTACAATTTGCTGATCATTTTGAAGTTATACTGGCGGTTATAGTTACAGACTTATCCAAGTGGGGGATTGTTGGATTAGGTGTCTAAGCCCATAACTATAATTGGTATAAGCTTGAATTGATGGTAGCACAATCCTTTTAGGTTGCCCTCAAACCTAGCAATTGAACAAGATTATTTTGGAGAGAGAGAATGATTTATTATTTGATTAATAAATTGTAATAAATAATTTGTTAATATATTATGGAAATAATATAGTAATTAGAAATAATAATATTTAATTAATATTTAATCAGAAATTAATTAGATATAATTTGGTGATTAAAAGAATTAATTGAAAGTGCAGGGACTGAAGTGTAATTGTTCAATAGTTAAGCAAGAGGCATTCTAGAACCCTCCATGAGGCTATGGACGGTTTTAAGGAGCCTTAGGGTTTCTAGAATTATCCTTGCTGGATAATTAGGAAGCTGTATAATTACCCGGTTCAAGATAATATTATTATATTGGGTTTGGGTTTATCTAAGGTTTCCTGACTGCACTATAAATAGGCCCCTAGGGCTATGAATTTCGGCACTCATAACCCTAAAAGAGATCTAGCTGAAATTCTCCTCCTCCCTCTCCATAATCCTTAGTTTCTAGTCTTGGGTGTGAACCATCAGAGGCACGAAGCTTGTGGTTTTAGCTACCAAAGTTTTGAATAAGGATTCAAGGTTATTTACAATAACAATCTTCAAAGTAAGTTTCTTAACCTATTGAATTCGTTTTTCATTAGAAAAGTTTTATAGGATGATAGTTCATAGTATGTTCCCTATATGTGAAAGACATAGATCCTCAATAGGTTGCATGTGCCCTAATCATTTGAATTGTTTGAATGTTTTCCTCTTAGTGCATAGAAATTTTGTAACCTACGTTTTCCATCGGTACGCTGGGCATACCAGGAGTACGCAGGGCATACTCTAGTCAGGTGCAAACCCTAATTTAGGGTCTTGGACCCTAGTTAAAGGCATTAACTTATGTCCAAACCCTATTATCTTCAAGCTCCATCAACATTAACCCTAAAATCGAAACCATTTCCTTCATTTGAGCAATCTTAAGCCTTTTGAGTGATTTGTAGTGCTTTTGGAACACATTAAAGAGGAAGGAGCTCAGTGGAGAAGTGTTGGTTAGCTTGGGACTTGTGGATCAATACTTTGTGCATCTTGATCTAACTTCTGGAGGTATAAAGCTTCAAACTTTATGGTTCTTTAGTGTAGATCTAGTTATGGGTTTTAATAAGCATGCTTTAGTTCCATGGCTTGAGTTTGTGAGTAGAAGTTACTCCAAAACCTTTAGACTTCATATCTTGTCATTTCTAAGCTTGTTATGTGATAAAAATCGGATCTTTGGGGTTGAAGTTCACCCATGCATGAGTTGTTGGCCATTTCATGAAAGTAGATTGATAGATCTAAAATTTAGACCTCTTGGAGCCATGGTATGGCTTAAAGCAATTAAATTTATGGATTAATACATTACTTAGAAGTAGATATGAAGGATGGACATTAAGTTCTTAAGGGGTTAAGCTCCTTTGGTTGAGTTTTGGCACCCCAATGCGTACATTGGGAGTACGTATGCGTACGCTCAGCGTAATGCATGTAACCCATCGGGTGGTACTTTGTGCTTCTGTGAGCAGTACGCGGGGTGTACTCCTGGAAAAATTCATTTTGAGCCTTTTGGTCCTTGGGTGTTATAGGAGTTGGTCCATGAGGTGTTGGGTCAGATAAGGGAAGGGTAAAATGGTCTTTTACCCATTGGAATGATAGGATGTGGAATTGGACCTTGGATTTTGGTAATTTCCTTAATTATTAATTAGGCATTATTTGGTTATGGTTCAGTGTGAGGATCCTGGTAGCAGCAACGCGTGTGTTCGGTTATCTCGGATTGAGGTAAATCTCCTCCCAGTGTTTAGTGGGTCGAAGGCACCAATGTCGGCACAAGATTTATGGTTATTAGTTTGCTAGCTGTCTGTGTGACCCTTGCATGTATTGTCTGTGTGACCCTTGCATGTATTGGTGATCAGTGTGTTGGGCGGGACCCATCGCATGTTACTGACATATATGTTTCGAGCGGGGCCCGATCGTTGTAGGGCAAGGCCTATAGTATGTATGGTATGTGGTATGTTGGGGAACTCACTAAACTTTGTGCTTACGATTTTATGGTTATGGTTTCAGGAACTTCCGGTTCGAAAAGGAAGGGCCCGGCTTGATCGCAGCGCATCCACCCATGTTTCCACAACTTGATGATTTTGGGATTATACTCTGATAACTGTTTTATTATGATATACTTTTGAATGTTTGGAAAAAGATAATTGGTTTTTCTAATTTAACTAAAAATGAAATTTTTACCTTATAATTTTTGGGATGTTACATGGTGGAATATATCTGATACGGTGGTGGAACCACTGGTGACCACCATGAAATTCTTCATACATACAATATATATGTCTGAAATTGCACAAAACACATCAGATCTGCCCAGATCTAACTAAATTGATAAATTGATATGTTTTTGCTTCAGATCTGAAAGATTGATGGCGGTTGGTGACTTTTTCGACATCTTTGACTTCATACCTGAAAGGTTGAGAGAGTTGACACGATGTTTTTTTGGCACTTTGGAGAGGTTAGGGGTCGGAAGGTGGTCGAAAATGAAGCACAAATCACATATCTGAAGGTATAGAAGGCTGACGTCAACGGTGATGACGACGGTTCACCGGAGCAGGGACAATGGAGGTCATCGGAGGTCATATGGTCATCGTCGACAATGATTGCGACGGTTTGAATGTAATGGTGGTAGCTAACAACGATGTTATAGATCCGGTGGTGGTTTGATGTTGTCGATGTCAACGGTTCACCAGAGCATCGATAGTGGTGGCTGTCGGAGGTCTCATCGTCGTCACCGGCGATGGTAGCGGTGGTTGAGGTGTAACTGGTGGTGGAAATCAAAAGAGGGGGATAGAGAGAGAGAGAGAAAGGGAGAGAGAGATATATAGATAGATAGAGAGAGAAATAAAGAAAGAAAGAGAGAAAGAGAGACCAAATCCAAATCTAGATCTAATTTTGAATATAATGAATATTGTGTAAAAAGTGGGTTAAATAAAGCTATTAGGTAAAACAACAAAAATATCTTTAATGAGAATGGTTCTCAGATGGTTCTTAACCTTTTAAGGTTCTCATTTGATCTTTCCTCTCTCTCTCTCTCTCTCTATCTATCTCTCTGTATATATATATGTGTGTGTGTGTATATATATATATATATATATATATATATAGGTTCAAATGTGGATTGACATCTATTGTGCGGACATGTGGATAGTGTTATTCTGCGAGAATGACAAGTGTTTGATAATGTGAATACATTCAATATTACATAACTATTGTCATTATCACACATTCTTACTAGTTAAATCATCTGTAAGGTTATTATAGACTTTTTTTTATTATTCTCATTCTGTCAGATTGTTGACAAAATGTTTATTGAGTCGTATTCTGTACGAATGAAAATGAGTGAAAAACGATGTGTGAGAACTAAAATGAATAAGAATTAGTGAGAATGCATGAAAATGACAATAGTTGTGTGAGGTTGAATGCATTTACATTACTAAACAACCTATTCTCTTAGTAGTTCTCATAGAATAGCGTTGTCCACATGTCCGTACAATAGTTGTCCATCGACATTATAACCCAGCTCTCTCTCTCTCTCTCTCTCTCTCTGTATATATATATATATATATATATATATATATATATATATATAAAGAGAGAGAGAGAGAGAGAGAGAGAATTAAGTTCATGTGAAAATATTTTTTAAAGTGAGAACATGAGAACAAATATTAGCCAATCAATATACATATAATTAATTAAATAAAAAATTATATGATTTTACATTAATAATGGCATTTTTGGATTGGCTAATCAAATTTAATGACTCTTTCAATGGTAACCTCCTATAATTAAGGTACCGTTAATATCACTATTAACAAACATTTATGAAAGGATCAATCATCATTCGTGTGTCAGCCACCGTATTAACAAATTCCAAGTTTCTAATATCACCATTAACAAACCATTACGAATCGGATCTTCAATTTAAGTTTGTCCTCAAGTTTGTCCATAACAATCCAGTAATGGATTTGTCCTTTCCCAACGATTTTGATGATATAAACAATATGAATGAAGATGAAACTGCATCAATCGATGATGAATTCTTGTCAAGTGATGATGAAATTGGTTCAAATGATGATGATAATCCCTCAATCGAAAATGTCGACATGATGGATCACCACAACGAAGGGGAGTTCACATTCGCTGAAAATATTTATGAAACAATGCAAATTCATGATATCTTATTTTTTATATTTAATTTCGGTAAAAATGTCTCAAACACATTCCATGATTTGCATATTGTTGGTATACTATAAAAAAAATAGTTTTCAGACACTTAGACTTCATTAACAATTCATATTTCGTTTTATTTGAGTTATTAAATTGTGAATTATAAACTGTTATTAACTTGTGACTTCTTAGATGTCACAGATGTTGAATCATGTAAAGAGAGAAAATGTGATTGTATTGATCAACATGTGTTAATAGCCGGTAAATCTTATTGGATTCTAACTGTCCCTGATGATCTTAAGCCAATAATAGACCTTAAATACCCATCTGATGATGCAATTGAAGACATGTACAGAAAATATGCATGTGCGGCAGGTTTTGATCCTTAACATTAACCTTTTTATCCTTAAAAATCTTTTCAACCCTTTTCCTTTTCATTTTGTTATCCTTCTTTTCAGTATCCATCTTCGTTTTTCTCTCAACAAAATCATCATCACTGCTGTCATTCTCCTTTACTTTTCCATTGTTAATCTTTTTTGGTAATTTCAGTTTCCGTCCCCCAACAGCTAGACCTTGATTCCCTACATTCATCATAACATTCTTTCCTTCAACTACACGGACCCTTGATGAACCTGTACATTGTTATCATCATAATCAATCTTACATTTTACACTAAATTGTAGAAGTAAACTTCTTCATAGATTACTTGTTTTCTAATATCAACATATTGGATTACAAGAATAGCAGTTTTGAATATTCTGCATGCATAACATAATATTACCCTGTATCAAACTACATTTAACACATACAATGGACTCCTTTACATTACACATTTAAAACAGATTTTAATCAACAAGTATAACACATACTAATTAACTCATATCTAAATAGCAAACTTCTTCATAGATTACTTGTTTTCTAATATCAACGTTTTTTATTACTATAATAGAAGTTTTGAACATTCTGCATACATAACATATTATCACATTGTACCAAACTAGATTTAACACATACCATGCACTCATTTAAATATTCTATATGTTGAAGTTTTATGCATGATTTCATATAATCAGAGATGAATACATATTTAGTTAAGCATCAAAAAAATCGACAACTTCAATGTTAACATACTCAATACAGAATTTTGACTCATATCCTACACATTTATACGCGCAAACTTCTTCATACCTTACTTCTTTTCTAATATCAAAGCATTGCCCTAACAGAAAAGCAGTTTTGAATATTCACCATACATAATATTTTAATAGCTTGAAGCAAACTAGATTTACCATATACCATGTACTCCTTTAAGTATTCTATGTTGACAGTTTAATCATACTAATGATTTCATATAATCAGAGATGAATACATATTCCTTATTGCATAACAACTATCAACAATTTCAATGTTAAGATACTCAACTGTTTACATCCTTCTTAATCTCTTGCATAATTGTTTACATCCTTCTTAATCAAAATAGACGTTACTCAACAACTCTAGCACATACTCATTAACTCATATCTGAATATGTTTCCGTTCCACACAAAATTTTGACTCATATACTACACATTCATACGCACAAAATCATGCACAGTCAAGAACCTTTCACTTAACAACAAAAAATTGAAAACAAACCCTAATTTCTCAAAAACCATTGCATTCACTCTTAAATACTTGTTAATCAACAACTTTAACTTTACCAACAAACAAAAAACAAACCCTAATTTCTCAAAAACCCTGATTGAAAAAACCCTAAATACAAATGTACGTAAAAAAACGAAATCTTTATGTCACCTGATTCAATGTACAAGACGTCGAATTCATCAAGATCGATAGCATTGTCAGCCGTGTTAGTAAACTTTGATTGAAAACCCGATTCAATCACTCTTGGCCTCCTTCGTAAGCTATGTGATCTCGTCCACCTCATTTCGCTTCAATTTTATAACATCAAACGCTTAACCTAATTTTTTGGAATTTTTGTTGAAGATTCTGTGAAGATCGTTTGAACCGAAATGGAAACGATTTTGGTAGATTTTTCCGCGAGGGTTTATCGGTAGTCGTTTGATATTTGATAGACTTACCTTTTTTATGATTATTGGTTGTTACATAATTATCATTAAACACGTATAAATCACTATTGAATATTTTTCCATACCAAAATCACGATAGAATACATATTGGACACCGTCAATAAATCTTGACCCTTAAATACAACAAATCTAATGGCTGAAATTTATCCTCACGAGTCCTCACTTTAAAATTAGTTCTCACAGGAACCGGACCCAAGAGATATATATATATATATATATATATATATATATATATATATATATATATATATATATATATATATATTATCCGGAACACATTTATATCTAGATGAAAGACTTTTTTTAACCTTAAAAGTTAAAACTTGCGTGGAAGCCATTATTGAGAATAAACAAATATGACATTCTCTTCATCTCTTGTAATATCATAAGCACGAGATAATTTAGAAGATAACATTATACAAAATTTTAATAAGAAAGTTATAGGAGTGGAAATTCTGATCTTTTTCTACAATAATTTTATATTTAAAATATTTGAACATTGACCTGCAACTGCAAGATAAGCCCTTAATTCTAAAACCTGTAGGGCTGTGCATGGGTAATATATAAATTTAACTAATTAACAAGCTGCTGATGAACTAGAGTAGGGATTAAAAAAGTCTCTTTTAGGAGCCATTGTAAAAGGGATGTTCTTGGACGCAGGATTGGTGTCTCCGATCTGTTCACATGACGGACACATGGTGAGAGTGGCCGCCGGCATCTGCATGTAGATGGGTTGCAACGCCTTTTGTGTTTTCAGTTCGTGAACCTCTTGCCGGAGTCTTTGATTCTCATCGGTTAATCTCTTGCAGCATTTCTTTAAGTACTCGCAATCCACTTCCGTTTGCTTCAGTTTCGTTCTAAAATTTAACGAGAAAAAACAAAGATTTTTTTTCAGTTAGTTGATTTTACATTTGAAAACCTTTAGAAATCAAAATTCGGTTAAATATATATCTGGAGTAAGTAGACAATACCTGGCCCTCCTGTTCTGGAACCAAACTTCAACTTGTCTCGGCCTTAGCTTTAGGTCCCTTGCCAGCTTTTGCTTTTGTTGCTGCTAATACTCAACACCAATCACTGTTAGCTAATTACAGATTGATGTAACTGATATGATAATAACTGTGTTAGTATATAAGTATATGACTAATAAAGTTTTGCTCTAAAAGATAAAAAAATTACAGGGTTCAAAGAGGTATGTAATTTAAAGGCTTCCTCAAGTAGTCCAGACTGAGCTTTTGTTAACCTGAGTTTCTTCCTTCCATTAACACTACCATCTTCATCTTCTTCACCATCTTCACCACAAGTATTATTCGCCCCTCCTCTCTCTGATTCTTCGCTTGCAACATCTCTTTCCCTCTTCACACTCGCATTAGAGAATGATGAGCCACCACCGGCACCACCATATGAATCACCTGAAAGAGCCAAGCTTAGCGATGGCTCATGGGGGTGATCGAAGCTCAGGTAAGGTTTTTTGGTGGGCTTCCTCGTGTTTTCAGCCATGGATGATGAATTAAGGCCTAGCTCTAGTACTAGTTCAGCCTTGGCAAACCCATGGAAACCCATTTGGATATTTGAATTAAAATATGAGATTGAAGTGTAGAAGGAAAGTACGGTGGGTTGGAAGATTGGGAAGAATATCAAGGAGAAAAAGGAGCGGATATAAGAAATAATTGGTGGTTATGATTATTAATAACGAAATAAATGAATGGTACAAAATAAGTGTGTGGGAAAACAATTTAATTGATTAATCAATGGAAAAAAAAAAGGCTAAATTCTCTCAACATGTATTTATAAAGCATACACTACTACAACATTGATTTTTAGCGACTGAAAGATCCATGATTGAAAAAAGGCTAAATCCTCTCGATAGATTTATGATTTTTTAAGATATTATCTGATACAAGATAAAAACAAATATGACCCAACACGATATTTGATGACAATATGTCGACTCATGTGAAGATGCCAAATAGTTAAAGAAACTTCGACGTTTCTTTCTTCATTGATAATGATGTCCATCATCTGATAAAATACTTCCGGGTTAATATGTCTATTTTGTATGATGAAACAAAGCAAATTTTAATCTAATACCTAAAGCTTTATATTATAACAATCTCAGGAATTGGAAAACATCTTTTCTTAAAGTGCCTCTGGTTAAGTCTCTTGATTAGAGCCATTGGTGTTCACTCACACATATAGTTACATAAATTCAAATAACTACCAAAGTCTATGTTTAAATCAGTGTCTATATTTGGGTTGGATTTTTAAATGAAGAAAAAATAAATTGAAATGAATTTCCCAAATAGAGGGAGGCCACATGAAGTGTCCCTTTTGTACATACTTTGGTCCAATTTCGTAGAGATAGTGTTCATGTTATCTTGCTTGCTTCTTTTTCTAACTTTCATAAATGGAGGGGGAGTGAGGATGATAGATATATACACATGTCTCGATTTGTAAATGTGGGGTAGGCTATGGTGTCTTATCGTATGGTGTTTCATTTAGGATTTCTAAGTTTTGTATTAATAGATTTTATAAGATGGATGTATCCGAGTTAATATCTACTTGGGATTACGAAATGGGGAAAATGACTCTGTAGGGTAACCAACTATTGCGTTTGTTCTCATTTGGTCCCTTTCCATTTTTTTGTACTCAATATACCATCGAACTTGTTGTTTGTGTTCATCATAACCCTTTTGACCGGCTATCACCTGTGATAGCCGGTCAAAGGGTTATGGTGAACACAAACAATAAGTTCAATGGTATATTGAGTACAAAAAAACGAAAGAGACCAACTGAAAACAAACTCAACAGTTGGTTACCCTCCTGCGTTATTTTCACCAAAAAGTTAAATGAAATTAAAGTTGCAAAAGTATCAAATACTGCAACCTTCTTTGGTCATAACGTACATGAAGAGCGTTTCGGAGGGGTAGCTTCGTTAAAACATGGTCTATGCTATGTTTACTGTGGTTAGCTGTCAACACCTCTCTACAAAAGGATATGACTGTGTATGAGAGGTATATTTATCAGCATAAACGTTACCTCAAGGTATATTATGGTGATGTGTCTGCAAAAGCTGCATAATCTTGTACATATTGATGTTGTATCTTTTCCCATGAATTCGATCTTAAAGCCAAGTAAACTAAAAAATCACAGCACTTGTGATTCCACTCGTTTGTAGACTTGTCCAGAATCCATGATACGATAAATCATTTGATTGGAAATGTAAATGTAGTCATGAAATGCACCTGATTAGTTAAGATTCCCCTAATAAATATTCAAGTGCATTACAAAGTTGTACAGGTATGAATAATGTTCTTTCGTGGGTTATGTTTTGAAGAGAAGCAAAAATGAATCTCATAAAGTCATTAATATAAGCAGGAGATAACGTGGGATTTTCTGTAAATGAGTAAAGGGAAAATAACTCAGGAGGGTAACCAACTGTTGAGTTTGTCCTCATTTGGTCAATTTCCTTTTTTTATACTCAATATACCATCGGACTTGTTGTTTGTGTTCACCATAACCCTTTGACCGGCTATCATAGGTGATAGTCGGTCGAATGTCGGTCAAAAGGGTTATGATGAACACAAACAACAAGTTCGATGGTATATTGAGTACATAAAAAGTAAAGTGACCAAATGAGAACAAACGCAACAGTTAGTTACCCTCAAATGTCATTTTCCCTTACGAAATGACTTTCATGTAATTTGTGGTGAAGATGTTTGAAACCCTTTTTTCTTGTACTACAATGTGTTCATGTCAGTGCAGTTTTGTTTTTTGTTTTTTTTTTGTTTGTTTTTTAAATGTTGTATTTGACTGTGCTATGTTAGAGTGATATTTTCCTTTTATTCAACATTTCTTTCATTGTTGCTCTGTATTTATTTTTATGAAAGATATAACAAATTGGCAGCCAATGGAATTTTATTTGTTCTTTAAGGTGGTTTTTGTTTTATATCTACAGATCTTTTTGGCATCTTTTATCTACGTCACGTAGATTACATATAGACATTAGCTTTCGCAGAATGTTTGTTTTTTAAAAGACCGCGAACCTAAAAAGGTATGTGCATCATCTTCCCTACGTAAATGTAGATTAGGATTTTCTAACATCTTCAGATATCTTCTACCCTTAAAAAAAACACATCTTTCTCGAATGCCTCTTTTTTCTTCTTCTAAAGCCTTTTTTTTCTTCCAAATGTTTCTTTTTTGTAATCTCTTCGAACATTAATATTTTTTGTATGAATGCCTTTTTTTGTAATACTTTCTTCTTTTAACTACAACGAAATTAATACAACAAATATCCAACATATCTATTAATTCATATCATTTTACTTTTATTATTTATATTACGACACACTATTTAAAAAATGACAAAATTGTCTTATTGTTATTAAAATACAAAATAATTTAGACAGACACATTAAATATAATATAATGTCACATAAAAAAAATTGGTTAGGGAAATGAAAATGTTATAAAAAAATTATATTGACCCGCGACAAATGGTTGATATGATTCCAATATTGGATATCTTAAATGAATTAAAATTGAAAGAAATTTGAATTTGATGGAACCTTTCAATGTATAAAACTAGTTCTGTTTAAATTTCAATATTGCAAAAACTCTTTTAAGTTTAAAAAACTAGTTTATTTAAATTTTAGTTTATTTTAACAACATATAAACGTTAAAAAATAAACAGTCTTCTTCTTGCATACTACAGACGTTTAGTCTACCTCTTCTATTGCAGAAGTCAACAGATGTGATCCAAAGACTGCAAACATATTGCATCTGCAAAACAAACATCACCTAAGTCACTAAACTTCTAATCTTATTCAACTAACAAACT